GCATCATGATCTTAGCTATGGCTTTCAGCACTAGCAACTTCGGGTCGCAGTGCTGCATCTCTTAGTAGCGTGTTGCAGGCACCTCGTCCCCCTTGGGGAAGCGTGGTAACGCATTGCCCCAAAACGACCGAAACGTAAAGTTTCAACTTTGTTTTCCACTTTTTTCCTTTTTAAATGGGGAATGTTCTTGAGATGTCATCTTCAAGGTGAAATTGAGAGAAGAGGAAAAAAAAAAAAATTGCTTACCTTTTAAAAAACAGAAAGGCTAATTCAATTAAGTCCAACGTTTTCTTAGCACTCCGGCCCGGTTCATACCACAGTCCCAACCAATTCAATTACGTGTTAAATGTGGACAGGAGAGTTTTTCAAACTTTTTTATTATCATCATACTATTACGGGAACCCCGTAGCTCAAGTACACAATGTGTGTGTGGCATAATTTTTTATTTTTTTTTTAAACCTACGGTGTTGCACTGTGCCACCAATGCAAAGACATGTTGTGTAGTCTTCCACACAGTCGTAAACTCACAGGATCCAGCAGTGTTGCGTTTTGCCCCGTTGCGCGAACATATCGTTTCTAGGTGCACAACTGCCCATTAACGATGGTCAATGCACATCATGCACACATATGTAAAAAAAAAAAAAGGTATGCACACGTGGATTTCTCAGGACATACAAGGTTCAACGAAGTCACCTATCATCTTAATAAAAGATAGTCACTACGTAAAAGGACTACATTTCGATGCAGCCAGAGTTCCAGGAAGTAACCATGCGAATTACTTGTGCATTATGCAACATAACCCCTGCCCAAGACAGATGAAACTCATGTCAAAAGGATGTCTAAATAAATGCATTTATTAGTCTATTTAAGTTCGTTCTTGCAATGTTTTTCCATTGAAATTCTCATTATCTTCATATACGCTCCAAGGTCAATCGCACTTGGAACATGCAGTGGAAAGCCGCATTTTTTTTTTGTAAGTCGTACTGTTGATATGACTATCTGTATATTTTGCATCCAAAATAATTTTGCTACTTTTCGAAAAGACAATCTCAAAGTTTCTCATAGAGTCTTCAGTTTCGGTAGGTTTTGCTATAACTTAGTAGATAATTTTTATTGATACGTGATTGACATTATCACAATTTCTTTTTCATAAGACATGAAAACTGGCTTGAGACGAATATTTGTTCATGAGTATATGCATTTAAACATTTTTTTTTCATACGAGATGAAAACCGGACTTGGACGAATAATTATTTATAAGTACAAGTTTGTCTTCATACCATTCTCATTACAACATTTTGGATTGACTTTTATTTTTTTCTAAGTTATAGGTGTCATGTTGGCATGAATACGTAGTACCGTCTAATTTTTTTTAATTCTTACCTTCTTACATTTGAGTCATGCAAGAAAGTGATTTCGTCCTCCGAGGTAGGGTTAATTGGATGACGTTTTTCTATAAATTTTACACTTCTTCATTTTTTATTCGTTTGGAATTGCCTTCGTTGAGGTAACATTGCATAAGGTATTTCTCATAAGCTCTTTTAAAGGCTCATACCATCGGCATAAAGCGTCATTGTTGCTTGAATTCAAGAGCTCCGCTGATGTGGGATTAATAAGTAACTAGCAATGTTGCTCTCTTCTCTACAATCTTTCAAAGATTGTTATGAACCCACTCTCTGTTTTTCATATATTTTTCCCTCATTCCGATGATTTTAAACTATTAAAATCTCACGATCTATCTAACTTTTATAGAATTTTACACCATTACCGTTTTAAAAAAATGACTATTGATAAGCATTTAATATGCGTGTATTCTCAAACATTGATTGCTTGAGAAATTTTACCCTTGAAAATAATTCTATGCAGGACCAGGGTCCGAGTTTTCCTTGGTGGAACTAGACTCCTAAGTGGCGATGATGGTTTCTTGTAAGTATAAAAAGGCAAGACGGTATATAACTAGGCATTTTGCAGTCTCGATAAGTCTGATTTTTTTGCTCATATGCAAATGCTTAGCATCATGCGCCACATCAATCTAGTATTTATCCTCATGTGGCAAATACTTTTTTTTAGGTAATTTCTACAATATCATTGTAATCTGATTTTTAATGTCGATAGCTCTGAGACCTCTTTTTGATGTTGGTAGAGAATTTGTCAAGTTATCTTGAAAATGAAGTTATACCCTTCTTCTACTCTTAGTTTCTATGAGAAAAAAACAACTTTTTATTTGATCCTTTATTAAAATTTATTTCGCTCGTCTCCAACGAAACATGCAAGTTATTGTTGAGAAAATGCTAGGGATGCAAGACTCTCCCTAATTAGTGAGGGTATATCCCTCCAGTCCTTCATGGTCATACTAACACACTATTCTGAAACTGCATCTTGAAACTAACTCACTTCCTTGAGTAAAATTCGATCTCATAGGACCCTCTTCACACCCAAGGATCAAGTCAGTTCAAAAAGAGATTGCAAAATGTAAATTAATTTGTTTCAATTCAGAAAAATATATGAGGCATGGTAAAATAGACTATCATGCATTGCATGACTTGGGTTAGACTTCCAGTTAAATTACCACAGATTGAGAGGAGGTCATCAACCAAACCACCCCGTTTGGCGCAGGTGTAATATATCATCAAGTGTTACATACTGAAAGCCTACACACGGGCCCCTCACGGGACCCGAGGTTGGAATAGGGCCCCCAGGTCGCGTCACCGCAACCTGAAGGCCCTATGGCATTCTTACTTAGGCCTGCATAAAAAAAAACGCCAGCTTTAGATTATTTTTATATTCTTTTATTTATTTATTTGCTGCTGTTTTTCTTACGGTTGTACTGTTGTCCGTTTTGTGGCTAGGTACACGTTTTAGGACCAGGGCCAGATTCAGGCCTAGAGGCTGAGCTCCTAAAAATGTTTGGACCTTTTCTTTTGTTTTCGAACAGATTGCTACCTGTTCGGACCCAGGCCGACGTTGAGGCCGGATACGTCCGCACAGGACCGGTTCGAA